AATCTTCCTTTGGGGCAAATGTGTAAGACTTCTGCTCAGTCTGTAACTTTGTTCAAAGAGTGGTCAGAATTGAGGATATGGTCCGCAAAAGAACTTGTCATATTGTACTCTTCTGAATGTGGATTTCTTCTATCAAAAATTCCTGATATAAGATATTATGCAGAGTAAACATTGTTTTATCCAATTTGTTTAATAAAATCCTGTTCGTTTATGAAGTAAGAAAGAGTCATTGGGATTTTTTGAATTGACTCGGCCGTTCCTTGATGGAAATCCATGATAAATGTAAAAACTTCACAAACGATAAGATTTCCACAAAATTTATTAAACACACGACATGTTTCGCTAGCACAGTAGCTTCGTCAGGTGATATACTGGTACAATGAACTCCAGTTCTTTGGAAGTCCATGGTCTCTCAAAGTGAAGTAAAGCAGTAACCACCAAATAAGTATGGAAAGTATGAGAGGTAATCTTTCTTCTCTATTAGCTGAACATTTTTCACACAATCTTGAACGAAAACTAAAAGAACTCCCCTTGGTAAATAACATTTGTTTCTGGTAGATATGTATGACGATTATTTAGATCTATTTGATGGAACACTTGCTGAGGTACACCTTCTTCGAGATTTTTTCAATAAATAACACCCTTCTATACAGTTCACAATGGAAATTGCTGAGAATAATTCAGTTCAATCCCTCAAGCAGAACCTATCATCACCCTTGAACAATCCAAGAACCCCTTTTCTTTTCAATTCCATATTCGAGCAACGTTTCTAATGCCATCAAAAATATATTCTAGGCGCAAACAACACATGGGAATATTATACCAGCATACCAGCATATGCTTACTCTGGAAGGTATATACGTATCTTAATTATTGAATTATGTCAAAAGTTTCCTCATCGAATGAGGATCTTCCGGTCAGAGAGGAAAAATAGATGTTTGAATTTGGAAATTGATAAGGTCTGTTGACAATCAACTAATAAGGCTTCCAGTTATGGCTACTACACTACATCTCGCCTGCAGAGCAGAATATGAATAATATTCATACCCTATATTCAATTTCGAAAGGAAGTTCACTGTTCGAACAGTTGAGATGGATTGGAATTATTGATAATAATCAATTTATATCATCCATGTGTTACTGAAAAGTATACAGATACGCCACTGAGTCGGTAAAAGACTATAGTCTCCTTTAGCAGGTATTATTATTTTCTAAACGATGATAATGCACATTACTGATGTAAACAACAATTGCACCGACAGCCTAGGTTGCGGCAAGGTCAATAAGATGTTTGGTGTGGTCCAGGTTCTTCTCCATCATATCGTCTAGAAAAAAATGACTGCGATGATGAGGTAGTTTTTTGGTGTCACGAACTAATCTATAGAGTTATTCAAATTGAAAACTACCATCAATATATTCATATATTATTTATATATATATATATAGGGTGTAACAAAATAAGTGTAAAACATTTGAGGGGGTGATTCCTCATCGAAAAAAAGATAGGATCTTTCATAAAAACAGAATTCATTGAAGCATCTCATGTTAAGATACAGCCCCTCGAAGGGGGTACATGAAATTTGTTTAACAATAATTTTTTTCACAATTACTGAAAAAGTTACAGTATTGAAATCAACCTGACATTTTATACTATCAAAAAGACACTAGCCAGTAATTTAGTTGATATTGATGAATTAGTTTTGTTCATTCCCCTCTTATCATTTAATGCAGGTAGTACCTACAAAAAAACAATAAATCCAGTTTGCGTTTATGACGATGTATCTCTGTAGTTGGTCGTAAAATAATTTTTTGCTGCGAACTGGTTCATTTTGCGAAGATTCCAAGGCACATTTTCTGTTTATAATGAAACAGGCTATCAGAAATGAATTTTTGAAAGTTAAACAAATAATAAGACAAAAAGTTACATTGGAAATAAAATATAGGGGTTGCGTTTTCCACTCCTTTCAACCATGGGGTAAACCAAACAAATTACTAAGTGTTTTTTTGATAGTAAGAAATGTCACGTTAATTTCATACTGTTACTTTTTCAGTGCTAGGGAAAAAAATTGTTAAACAAATTTTTTGTACCCCCTTCAAAGGGCTGTATCCGAGGCTGTATCTTAAAATGGGATGCTCCAATAAGGTTTCTTTATATGAAAGATCTCATCTTTTTATTGATGAGGAATCACCCCCTCAAATGTTCTACACTTATTTAGTTACACCCTGTATATACAGGGTGTCCCATAATTAGCGTGCAATACTTCACCATCAGATTTTGCTATGAAAATTAAGGACAAAGTTATCATAAACATAGGTCGAATGATGTTTCATGAGCGAGCTACATCCCCCCAAAGGTACCCTGAAGAAGTTTTTATTTTATATCTTTCGAAACTGTTTGGAGCAGAACTATGAAATTGAGCAAGTCGACCAATCTTTCCATGTCTGATAATATGCGATGATAATAATTTCAAAATTGCATACAGAAATAGGTCGAACTGTGAGGGGTGGGGGGTAAAATCACCCCAACTTTTTTGGGTATGTTTTTTTCGCAATTTCAGCAAAGGATTATGAAACTTTTTTCACATAAGAAGGTTCCTCCTGTTCAACTTCAATAGGAAATACCGTTCTCGAGTGAAATCGATCTGAAAATTACTTCACATAAAAATTCATAATGAGATTAGAAAAATAAAAAATTCGAGCGTAGGCCATGAAAGACGGTCACTGTTTGTGGAAAAATAATCAAAACAGGTGACATCCATCCATCTATATTTTGAAATGTTTGAAATGCATTAGAAGCAACTTGAAATCCTTCGATAACAATGCTTCTTCGCATGCTTACAACACACGCAATGGTAGTCACCTAAAAATACCAAACCACAAAACCACGAAATTCCAAAATTCTCCTCTCTACAAAGCACTGGGTTTCTACAACAAACTGCCAACGGAAATTAAAAATTCTGAATGTGATAGATTATTTTTTAACAAAATAAAATGTTTGCTGACTGACAAATGTTAGGTACTATTCCTATCAAGAATATTTGGATGATCCATTATTGTGAATTATTTTACTTGTAGTGTACTGTCATCCTATTCCGTAATACAACTTCAATTCAATGATTTTAATTATATATGGTCGTGGTCATTTGGACTCAGTCTATGATTTTATTTATACTGTCAATCGTTTCACTTCTAAATATGTATCCTGTGTTGTGCTGCCGTCAGATCTGTTTTGATTTTATTTATTCATACGATTGTTATTTTTACTCAATGATCTACAATTTGGTTTTATTGTATCATGTGACTTACGCATTGTATGACTTAACATATGTACACACTGTACCTAAATGGCGAATACATTATTATTATTATTATTATTATTATTATGACAAATTCATCAAATAAGGGACAGGAGTTGTGTAAATTCATTTAATTTATGAGAATGTATCTGTACGACATGTTTTCCACTTATAGTTAATTCTTCAAAGTGGTTTTCATTTTGCTTAACTCATAGTTGGGCTCGACGACTCATAACTCGAGAAATAAATCTAATTTCATTCACAGCCTCATTAATTCTCAACAGTAGTCTCTCGCGTGTCCACTTCAGGGGCTTCAATTTTTGATATTTGTAATTTCATTATGAATTTTTATGACATGTTAAATAATTTTCAAATCGATTTTACTGGAGAGCGGTGCTTCCTATCGAAGTTGAACAGAAAGAACCTTTTCATGGCAAAAGGCTTCAAACTTTCATAATTTCATGCTGGAGTTTGCCAAAAAACTACACTTGGAAAAGTTGTGGTGATTTTACCCCCCACCCCCAACAGTTTGCCCCATTCCTGGATGACATTTAGAAATTATAATTATCGCATATATATCATGAGACATAATAATAATGGTCAACTTGCGATCAAGGTACCACGTTGTATATATATATAGGTGTCATTGGAAATACAAAACGTCCATATATTATATCGTTGCAGAATGTATCAATATTTCAAGAAGATGCGCCTATTTCAAGAAGATGCGCAATTTCGCACCTTCTTTTAGAGCATCAGGTTGTCAAATCTTGTCATTCGTAGGTACTTGTTTTCTCAGATTAGCAGTCATCTATGTATTGTAGATAACGGGATTTATTTCTTTCGTATACCTTCTTATTTGTTTAAAATTGTATATGTACTTATATATCAACCATACGATTGCTTGGTTATAATTTGCATATCCCTATTTTTAACAGAGTTGGTGATTCAGATTCCAATTGTGTTTATCGTAATTTCAAGATATCAACGTGTTCCAGATACTGGGATGAAAACTTGCTGTTACAAATGGCATTCTATTCACTATTCTGCGATTTCCAGTTACGTTTTGCCCCTAAAACAGAAAAGTCTTGATATTTCGAGTCGTTGTAGTGTTAAAACCCACACTTTGATTTTCAGAGAGACTAACAAAACGACATCAGTTTCCTTGTGAACGACCCAGAATTTCCAACATGTTTTGATGTTCGACCATGTTGAGCAATTTCCTGTTAAACTGAGACTGAAATCAATGCATAATTGAATCTACTCATCATACGAAAACAACATACCAAGTTTTTAAAGATGAAAAACGAACCAGGAACATGAAATATCTCTTATCTAGTATCGATATCATCATCTGTTAGAAAAGGCAATTTCAACGGCATGAAATTGATTTTTCGATATGCGCCTGCCGATTACATTACCTCAATGCATTATTCTTTGCAAAACAAGTGATTTTTAATATCATATAGGAGTAGAAGTACTATAGGAGAAGGCTTTGGAAAATGTATACCTACTGATGAACATGATATTCCATTTAAAACTATGCACATAAACCTGTTTTTTGTGTGGATTATACCTGGGATAATTTCATGTTATAGGCACTTCAATTCCATTTGTTGTTTTCTGACATTCATAGTAGGTAGGTACTCGAGAAAATTCAACATTTGATTTTTTGTTGCAGCAACAGGAGCTTTCGCCCCGGGTATGGAACCAAAGAGGCAACGCACAGCTTACACTCGCCATCAAATACTAGAACTCGAAAAAGAATTCCACTACAACCGATACCTGACAAGACGGCGACGTATAGAAATAGCGCACACATTGGTCCTCTCCGAGAGACAAATTAAAATCTGGTTTCAGAACCGCAGGATGAAGTGGAAGAAAGATAACAAATTGCCTAACACGAAAAACGTTCGAAGGAAAACGAATCCCGCCGGGGTCACCACCACGACGAAAACAGGGGGCAAAGTTCGAGGGAAAACACAGAATGGCACTCCAGGAAATAACAATGATAAACGGAAAAACAACAACAGGGAGATGGATGGACTGGGTGAGAATATGCTGGATATGTCACTCACTGCTCATCAGATTCCTTCCTCTCATTCCTTGGCTCATCCTGGTAATTTGCACCACAGTGCAATGATACATAGTGATGCTAGTTTACATATGGGATCACTAGGAACCTCATTGCTGACACCTCCTTCGCCGGGTTGTGGGCAAGTTCCTGGAACACCACAGCCTGTGATCAAGTCAGATTATGGACTCACAGCTCTTTAAAAGTGAGTTTAGCTCAATGTGTAAAGGAATTGGGAACGGTGATTTTGCTTGTTTGGAAGGAATTGTTTTGAATTCGATTATATATCTATCAGATAATGTCAATTTATTTACTCAGATCATATTTTTACGAGCGATATATTCATTATAGCTGCTTGAATTATATAGGTTCCTAGTGAAAATTTTCTGGAAATTTCATCATGCACCTTTGAAAGTGTGTAATTTTTATTCAATATCGATGTCTATTTATTTCGAAATTCAGCAGAACTTCAAAATCTGAATATTGTTATTTTGCTTAACCAACACATTCATGTATGCTTAAACAAATCTAGAATATTATATGGAAATATGCACTTGGAAGGAGCAACAATATGTTTCCCAGGAACTCCGACCTGCAAACATATTTTTGTTAATTTGGAGTGGCCTAAAATATTTATTGATGAAATAAAAGAGCAAAGTGTACCTCAAAACAGTCCGTAATATTCATAACGACTATATATTTAATTTGAGGTATTGTTCATAGAGATATAATACAGGATTTCATTTCATGAACGCGAAAGCGATAATAATCTGAATGATGAGCATAGTCGATTGTTCATTGGATAATTCCTTCTATCCATGTAAATATTTGTTCCAGTGTATATATAAAATGCCGACAATATATGTATATTTCTCTGCTTCAATTGTTGATGATTGTATATATGGTTAATTCAATGGCGATCATTATTGATTGTCAAAATCCGAATAAAACAGTGTCTATACAGTGTGAGACTTTTACTGGAATGAATTCGTTAGCGGGGAGGTGGATATTTTTTATATAGATTCCCGACATATTTCAACGATTTAATATATTAACCAAAATTTTGCAAGCAATATCGAGTATATATCCTTCCAGGGGTAGCTGAAACCGCACTCAACATGATTTTTGCAAAAGTAACCCTATGGCTTGTGACCCCTCATTTGAAAGCTGGTGACAAGAGGAATCCAGCGTACTAGTCACATTTCAGTTTTTCATACGTTCGAAGGTTGCAAGAAATTGAAATGAAATTCAAAATTCTTTTTTTTAACGTATCAATCGCTCAAAATGTGTGTTGAACAATAATTGATGGCAATTTTTTGCCACAACTACTATCTGTTATTGTATTACAGTGTTTTTATAGGGCCGCAAAAAAATTTTTTTTGTTGTAAGCACAGTTTGTAACGAAGTGTTAATGCCAACTGGTGGAAATGCCCTATATCAGTGTCACTAAGAGTTGAAATTTTGATGAAAATACGTTTAAAATATATTAAAATTCGAAATTATAGTTTTACTTTATGACCTCCGAACGAAATGCATACTGAAATATGATCAGTGCAATGGATTTCTCCTTCAACCAGCGTTCCAATGAGGGGTCGCAAGCCATAAAGTACCATTTGAAAAAACAAGTTGGGGTTGATTCCAGTTACAACTAGAGGGGTAACTGGAATCCAATCCGCCAAATTTGGGTCAAAACATTTAAACGGTAAAACGTGTTTCGCGAATTTTCAGAAAAATCATTCACTCCCCCAGTAGCGAATTTATTCCAGTTAAAGTCTCCACCCTGTATAAATGACCATAGCATCTTAGTGATCGTTGAAATATTTCATTGTTTTGCCGCTTGCCACTTCGATCGACACATCATGAGCCGAGAGCGGCACTATTTCAACCTCCAAACAAAAGTATGATCGAAGATTTCAACGGCCCCTGATGCTACGATCATTTTATAGAAACATTGTAGTAAAGATTCAACACTAAATAAGTGAGTCAGCGCCCATAACCATCATTGTTATAATGGTACATGTATTTTATCCATGATTATTTATACTCGAACAAGACTATTTAACTTTTCTCTTTTGAGATAAATATTATTTACCTTTCGTGGATGTGGATTAGGTCTAGAAATTTAGGAAAACTGAAAATCGAAGAACCAATGAATATATTCAGAATGGAAACTATGGTTAGCATTATTTTAAGATTCTTCTTATCCTCAATATTACAATATAAGATATTCAAAAAATTAAGAGATAATAGCAGGTACTCGCAGAAGTTAATCACGAAGAAAGAAAGAATTATGTTTTCGATTAAGGACTAACCCAAGTTCCAACATAGTGATATACGTATACGAGTTACACAATAAATGGTTAATTGAAAAACAGTTCAGATGAAGGGTAAGCTTCACAGTGAATAACAATTAGGGTACTGAGAAAAACCCAGACAATTCGGTTGATATTCGATACGGGATGAAAATGTAAAAATCTAATATGGGGATGAAAATGTGATAATCTAATTGAGAAAAAATACTGATATTCACAAATGCAATATATACAGGAGTGGGAAGTTCCCCACATGTCCAAAATGCTTTCGTGAATTTTTGAGTCGTATTATCCCTGTGAACACGACATCTGAGATATTATTATCATCTTGAGGTTATGACATGCTGCGCTTTAAACTGGGTAGTTCAAAGAATGTCTCTGCATTCATTTTATTTCATTGAGATTTTCACCAGGAATATAAAAGCAATATAAATTCATATAAGTCATTGGTCAACATCAATAAATAATTTCCTTATGTGCTATGTGCCATCAAGAAGATATATCCTGAGACATTTCATGAATCCGATTATACACTTCTTCTTATGTAGTTTCCATTTTTATAAGTATTTAATTTGTAGGGCTCAGGTATATGGTCATCCTTCGAACTATAATTTGAAATATAAGATGAAAGATGAGGGTATAGGCACCAACGGTGAAGATTCCGGGTAGAATTCTTAGAACTTAGTGATTAAATTTGTATACTTATTCGAAATAATGGCAGGCTCTGCTGCAGGTAAAATGGAAACCATCACACATTCGATAGAAAGTAGGAGTTAATTTGGGAGGGTACTGTTTTCTAGAATATGTTTGTGTACATCATTGTTTCTGACATTCCGAAACAGTAGGATCTGAGTAAAGAGAGTATCCCCAATGTAGATGTTCTTGATGAAACTAATTGTGCAGTTACATTTCAACTAAAAGCTTCACTCAATAGGATTTTTTACCGTGTGATCAAATTCAGTGCAATGTATTGTTATGACTATAAGATATAATTGTTTTATAAATCCACTGATAAAATAACGTATGCTAAAATCAATGAAAACAAATTTAGTGGTTGAATAAATCGTCCTTCAGAACCATAACTCAGAATGCATATATATTTGTTGTTGTTAGGTTTTATTCTCGTTGAAGACACCGCAAGAAACTCATGGTTCATCAGTCAGGGAATACGAATTCTAAATGTATTTCTTTATATGTTTCTTCATTTTTATATCCCAATTTTTTCCTGGATATTAACTTACGATTTCGAAAACGGACCATCATATTCACTTTTTGCCACTAACGACGAAGCTATGACTGTCACTGATAAACAACTGCAATTCCGAAAAAAAAAAGAATCAGTTGGCCATAACTGTCATTCACACAAATCATACTGCATCCAGTAATGCTCAATTAATGTTTTACAATGACCTTCAATGTTTTATATATATGCAAATAATTTTGGATTATTTTCCTGCAATGGCGACGCATTAAGTTACTATATGAATCTCTCGGTATCTTCGATTTTCAGTTTATTCACAGTGCCATTTTCGTAGTGTAATTGTTTTGTTATCTTTTTTGTTGATGAACGAATACCTGAAATATACATGTTCCTGATAATTATCCAAACTGAACGTTTTATCTATCGTTGTTCGGCCAGAGAGAGCAACAAAGAAATATCTGCAAATAATTGTGAATATTTATTTTATAACTCGCGCTATTGGGATTCTCATATACCTATTAGGAGTTATGTGATCCCACTGACAATATTCCAGAATAATAATTGAGAATTATCGATACATTGATAAAAACTGAATCAAATGCTTTTCAGTAACCGATATATAATCGGCATTATTGAGAATTTTGTGTTACCGTTTTCTTCAAATAATTTATTGCCTTCATTTTTTCGTTGCTTGAATGAAATAACAGAAAATGACTGTGAAATTATCATCGGTTCTCCTAGCTGAAGAAAGAATAGTTTATAAAGGCTTTTAGTGTAATAAACAGGCGAACAACACGCTAGAAATTACATAAAGAATGGAATATACACTTTTGATGGAAGCACCTTCGTATCTTCCATGACTATTGTGGTAGGTGAATATTATGAATGCGCTAGAGCGAGGAAGCTACCAAAGATGAACTTGTTAATTGAAATATCAATGATATGCAGAAAAATTTGAACAATTCTTATTATTTGGGGTTGGCGATCAAACCAACTTGATATTTTCACGACTCAAACCTCCCTAAACCCCAGCTTCAGAATTTCATAATTCTTTTATGAAGTGGTGCTTCGTTTATGAGAATCATTAAAAATTTAACAAACTTTGAAACAAGAATTTCACATACCTTTATTTGCGTACCTACGGAGACTTATTGAAAAAAAATGTCCAATAATATCAGGCTTTTCGTTATTGCTACATTTTATTGTGAGATATGTTGGTCAGTTCACCAATGAGTGAACCCTCTCAAATCAAAAGAAGCTTGATCCAAACATGAAAGTTGTTATTCACTATATTGCTGAGTATGACTTATGATAAGCTTTAAAAAAAAATGTTTTCAAATACTGTTCGAACATTACTCAAGAGAAAATGAGGTTTTCTATCAGTATCCATCCACAATTCTCTGTTATTCTTGGGGTTGCGTAGCGTACACTCGAGAAAAAACTGACGAATAATGTAGAAAATAAGCCACTTGGCACGGACTATTTTTATGTCCAATAGATTGATATTACTCGCAGCACTTGCTTCCCCTACCTCGTGGAATCAATATGGCGGCCATCTGTGAGAAACAATTGTTATTTTGGAAAAATAATTTCAAAAAACTAATATTCTTGGTATTAATATATGCATATTACAAACATTCAAGATAGTTCCAAAACTTTTTGGTTGATAAGTTGAGGCATCCTGGCGGCCATAATATATTTCCACATCTATTTCAAATAT